GTCATGAACAAAAGCAAGAAACCTCCAATTACCTTTTAAATGGCGGAGGGGAGGTATAGAAAACCCTATTTGCTGGGAACTGGCAGGGCTGGGCACATCAGTACTTCTTGACAGCTAAGCAAGCTAGCTAGTACTACTGTAAAGGGCCCCCAGAGAGCAACCCTTCTCCTATGGAGACAAACAGTCTGGTAAGAATATGGTGAGGAAGAACCAAGTACAAATAGCAGGAAAAGCTGCCATCATGAAGACTAATCGTGATTTCCCAAATACAAGTCAGAGGAGGTAGCTTTTTGGAGGACACAAACACAGAGAAAGCCAAGAAGACTCGAGGCAACTTTTGCTTAAATAAAAGGCCAGTACTTTGTCCACCTCTGTCCAGCTCTGCCGCTCGCTCCTTAAGCACAAGCACCTCTCACCACACTGTAGCCGAGGATAAACGCGTTTTACCCAGCTGTAATTTGAGTACTGCCCATTTACCACCACTTAGCCTGGACCACTAAACAAACAGGTTTGCCTGCTTTCCCATGGCTTGGCCAGAGATACTTCTGCAAATACCACAGTAAGAACAGAGCAGTTCCAACATCACACAGATAGGTGCTAATTGCTTCTGCAGCCTCCAGCTTCTACCCAGCATTAGGCCCACAGCTAGGAAGGACACTAACAAATTGAAAAGGCAAAAAAAAACAGTACTATGGATCAGAATGGATGAAGGAAACGCTGCTTACCCTGAAGAAAGAAGATGAGAAAATAGACAAAGTACAGAGATGAGTCCTGGAGAAGGTGACCTGAATTACAGCAGCTCATGGGGCGGTACCCTCGGAGGGTCACCCTCCAAGTACATAATTAGTGCCAGGCCTGAGAAAAAAAACAGTTACTAAGTTAACGCAGCCAAGGGGAGAGGGGGGAGCTTGGGAGTTGGGTGGACAGGGCACAGAGGATACATTTTCTTTCTTAATATAGAAGGAGCAATGATGAAAGAAGCAGACTTTCCTCACCCACAGCCAAGTCCTGGCGAAAATCAAGAGAAGCCACTGTAGAGATCAACTCAGAAGATCACTGCTGCTTTGGTAGAGTGGTAAGGCCTGAACAGTGCAGACAGCTTCCAAGGAAAAGCAATTTTTCTTTAAAAGATGAAGAACAAAGGGTTTTTTCCCCCTCCCTCCCTTCTTTCCCCTCACACCCTCCGCCCAAATAGAGTGTAAACATTCAACCTCAACACACTGAATTCAGGCTACTCTTTGTGTGGCTGAACGTGCTAAATTTATGCTAATCTACAGAATATTATTCTCATTGTGCAGTATATCATCTGTAAAAATGAAACAGAATACAGAATTAAAATAGTTGGAAGATGAACAATAAAGGGATTAAGATCTAAACTGTTAAGATTTAGTCGAAAAAAATCATACTTTATTGTAAAACTACATATATAACAACGTATTTGGAAACTTTGTTCTTCACTTTTAAGGCCATGTTATACCGAAGAGCCCTGGAGCTCGAGTTAGGCTGTGCTGTCACATCAAAGTACACCTGGAAGGAAGCTGCAGATGTGGGAGGGGGGAGAAAGAAGTGTGGAGCCTGGAAAGTTCAGAAACTATCTCCACTGAAGAGGAAAGAAAGACAAGTTAGATGAAGGGGAGGGTGGGGGAAACATTAAAACACACCAACTTGTTCACAGTTTCTTCAGGAAGGACTGAGGACAAACTTCGCTTGTAAACCAGAACACTAACAGCTGCCCTTACACTTCACCACGGTAATGAAGTCTTTCATAATTGCCTTAGTAGTCAAAATGAGCATATTCCCACGATATACATACACACATATATATTTAAACAAAATATGTTGAATGATAAATGATGCTAATATATTCTAATTCCTTTAAGCAGAAGTTAAATATTCTCTTTAAGAACACAAATTCAAGGCCAATGAGCCGTTAAAATGACAGGCCCAGAAGCTGCTAGCATAAAAATATTCAATGTTTATGAGGACATGTAAGTTCCAGAGGAGAACTAGTTATATACAGTACACTATAGATCTATAGTTGAAATGTGACTGTGGTTAAAAAAAAAGAAAAAAAGAGAGAACAAAAACAAAACCAGAAAGCACACATGCTTACTGTGCCTGTGCTATTCCTGAAAACCTGGCAGCCTTCTTATTCCTAACAAGTAACTTAAAGCTCCAACATCTACAGAGCACCTTGCACCCAAAACTATGCTTAAGTTATCAAAGGCCTTACAACACATGCAGACAAGCACTACTTCCATGACTAACTCCGTGAAGGCTGCTTCCTACTTCCTGCTCTTCCCACCTGAACTCCTCCAACCTGATGCACTGCCATGCAGCTCCTCAACCAGTTGAAACAGAAACCCACCATGAAGTTGAAAACTCAAAATCAAACAAGAAAACACATTCAACCCACAGAAAACAAAATACAGTGGCAACCTACCACTTACATGGTAAAGGATCAGAAGTTAAACAATGATACTCAGTTCAAGCAGTGAAGAGCATTACCAACAGGACATGGTCTGATTAACTAAAATTACAGAAAGCTTTTTAAGGGTTTGACCAATAGCTGGATGGATCCTTCTTCATCAAAATGCAAAGCACTCTAAAGTGAAGAATTAGGTGGACACTTAAGCCTACATATGTTTTAAATAAAGCCCTCAGTGCATTTCCTTTCAGTCAGGAAATAGGCTTATAGACATGTTTATCATGCATTCTGAACAGATCCTATACCATTGCTTGCCCCATAGAGAACAATACAATTCTCCCTGCAGAAAGCAAAAACGTGGGACATGTTGTTTGAACAGTTCGGCAGTGAGTGCTGTAATTAAGCCTGCCTCTTCATGAAAGATCATGAAAGGGCAACAGGGAAAAAAAGTAAGCCTCAGAGGCACAGCCTTTCTTCTGTGATTTCCCTTCACTGGAATCCCTCCCACATCAGTCTGGGAAGAAACTGTACCCTGCTTCATAAAAAAGCAGTACCAAAGCCAAAGCCTGTTGCACTGGAAAGAAAATCAGCATCTAGATAGAGTGAGCTCACCATCCAGGACTTGCTATTATGCAAGACGGACGTGCCCTCATTTAAGGGGGGCCTGATACTCACACAGTGCTTCACTCTGCCATGGGTCTTTAAGAGCAACTGCCAAAATATTCAACCAGTGCAATGCAGTAACCTAAGCACAAGTCTCTGAACTCTGAAAATTACCAGTGGTTTTGACTAGCCTCTTTCTGCCGTATGCCAGGTCTCTGCAACTAGCCTTTCCATGTGCATTGGCTAAACAGCCAAGATTTCATTTTGTTCTTTCACAGGG